AGAAGGTGCGCTGCCTAGTTGATACAGGGTCGGAATGCACCCTTATGCCTCTGGAGTTCTTCGAAAGACACTATGGACATGTGATGGAGCCGTAAGACAGGAGTGTCATCAAGCTGACGGCTGCCAATAACAGAGAGATGAATGTCCGAGGAATAGTCTGGATGCGGGTCCGTCTGTGTGGGCAAGACGTCGGCAAGAAGGGAGTCGTGCTGGTGGATCATTCGTCCAGGAGAGGGATGGACGTGACACTAGGTATGAACGTGCTGAGGGACCTAGACCACCAACTTTATGCCAAAGAAGGGCCAAGGTATTTTTCAACGGGCCACCACACACCAGCCAACCAAGAAGGTTCTACAGCAGATGGTGAGGAGCTGCAGTTTGCGAAAGGGCGATATGTCCGATCGGCCCATTGGACACGTGAGGGTGCTGCAGAGGACCCCGGTGAAGACCCCGCCTCGACATGAGCGAATATTGATGCTGCAGGTTGGGGCTGGACGACGACTGAATGGACTGGAGGTCCTGATCGAGCCCTCTTACCAAGAAGAAACGCAGACTCATCCACTGGTAGCCCGGGCCCTTGCTATTGTGAAGGATGGATGTGTGCCTGTACGCTGCCTCAACGTTGAAGACTGTGAGTTAACCGTCCCTGGGAATACCTTGCTGGCCGAAGTTTATGTGTCCGAAGGGGATATTCCTCGATGGAGGAGCTTCACGCTACGGGCAGATAGGAGATCAGCCTGGACCTATGCTGTAGAGGTCCATCAAAGGGAGACCGCGACAGCGGAGTGGAATGGTCAAGTGATCATGGCCCGGAATGGGGGTGGACTGCAAGATCCTGACTCCAGGACAACAGAGGTTGCTGGAAGACACCCTTTGGGAGTTTCAGGAGGCCTTCTGGAGACATGATGAGGACTTTGGGTGTGCCTCCACCATCAAACACGAAATCCCCACCGGCGATGCTGCACCGATCAGGGAACGTCAAATCCCGCCTAAAAATGTACCAGGAGGTGAAGGATATGGTGGCCAGCATGTTGTAAAACCAGGTGATCCAGGAGAGTCAAAGTCCTTGGGCTGCTCCAGTAGTCTTGATGCGGAAGAAAGATGGGAGTCTCCGTTTCTGCGTGGATTATCGGAAGCTGAATGCCCAGACCGTCCGGGATGCCTACCCCCTTCTGCGGATTGAGGAGTCATTGTCCATCCTGAGTCATGCAAAGTTCTTCTCGACTCTTGACCTGGCCAGTGAGTATTGGCAGGTATCGGTGGCCAAGAAGGACAAAGCGAAGACGGCCTTCATCCTACCTATGGGTCTCTACGAGTTCAACCAGATGCCATTCGGCCTGTCCAAAAGCTGGTGTTGAGGTTGCTTTCCTCGTTCATGACTTCACTGTATCCTGGGGAGCCCACCCCGGTGCACGGCTTACATTAGAGTGCACCCTTACCTCTCAGGCCGGTACAGCATTATTTAGTTAGCATAGAGCAAGGCTGTAATGCCCCCATGAAGCTGAGAGCTGACACTCTACACTCTTCTGCAAAGTTACAAAATAACAAACCACCGGTTTTATTTCATGTAATTCTGACAGCAGCATTGTTATGAAATTGACAATGTTATGACACTTTTTTGAGCGTCTTTTATTAGTGCTGAGCTAAAGTTAGACAAGACATGGGATGGCCATACAGCCTGCCACTTATGCTTTGACAGAGACCAGTACCCTGAATAATAATAAAAGAAGGCATCGCTGAGAGGTGTGGATACACCATTATAACATTTCAAGAGTTGAGATTCAGACAGAGTCTATCGGTGATATGTTCTTTTAACTTTGATATTGTAATTAGAGAGATCATCATGTATATACAAACTCAATCTGTTATTTTTTTTTTTTTTTTTTTAGGAATTACTTTTGTCAGAAATGTTTATCTGTAAGGGGGAGGATGGGATGACTGGTTTATTGCTTAATTTGTACATTCATGATAATCTCTGTATATGTAAAAAAATTGAATATGATTTCCGTGCAGTGTATACATTTATTGCATGAGGTTTCAGTGCTTCCAAACAAAAGAGTTGTCAATGCTTTGCAGGGTCCTTTAATCATCATGGATTGTGGTGTCCATCAGGTGCACAAGGATGCATACTCAAACTGACACCATAGTAGAGATGGAAGGGGCCAATCCAACAAACATCAGTCAGTGCCCTTTGGGTAACTGAACAAGATGCTCACCACCAATTTCATCCGTCTACCACAACCCCACTCCTCAAATACCCCCAACAGGCCACGTTTTTAGATTAAATAGCTGTCAGCAAAGCATTGATATTGATTTGAAGCACCTGTGCAAAGTGAAGGAGATCCTGAAAACAACCTGGAGGTACTTGAGGACTGAGATAAGGATCCACTAATCAAACGGATTACCTGCAGCAGGATGTGGGATCTGATCATTATCATCGGCAGCTTTTGAATTGTGAGTGCAATATTGGATTTTTTATATCTAATAAAGTTTCATCAATATATTACACAATGGCAGTGTGTTTTGTTTATGTTACTGCTATTTTACAAAGCATTAGCCATTAACTGCTCCCTTGATTATAACTCATCGCCTGTAGCGGAAAATATAAAACAAGACTATGCAATATCTCATACTGATTAAAAACAAATTTAAATATGTAGAAAAGTAAAAACATTTATTTATTACTTTTAAACATAATAAAATAAGAAAGCACATACTATACTCTATTTAGAAGCTGAGCATGAATGTAGACTATGCCATTATAGTCAGAAGGTACACTGGGACACTGGGGTCATAGAAATATAAATCCGTATGGTTGAGCCTGTAAAATTATTAGTGATCTAAGGGAGACCTATGAGCAGGGCTTATTTGCAGCGGGAACGCGGGGGACTGCAGTTCCAGCACCTCTAGCACTGAATGTATGTAATGACAAGGGGTGCGGGGGTGTGCTGGAGAGTACATTGTTGCTGGCCGATGGGGAATCTATTGTCATTGGGGAGAACAATTGTTGCGGGAAGGGTGTTATATTGTTACTGGTGAGGATCTATTATTTCTAAGGGGTTAATTGTTGCTGGGAGGGTTCTACTGTTGAGGAAGGGGTCTATTGGTGCTTGCTGCTGGAGGTTCTCTTGATTTTGGCTGCTGGTAGATCTATTGTTCTTAGATTGGGTCTATGTTGCTAGGGTGCATCTATGTGTTGCTGGGGGGATTTTGTTGCAAGAGGGTCTATTGTTGCTGGGGGGATCTATTGTTGCTGGCTGCTAAAGGGTTTATCGATGTTGGATGCTGGGAGATCTATTGTGGGGGTATGTTACTGGGGTGAATCTGTTGTTGCTTGGAGGGTATTTTGTTGCAGGAGGGTCTATTGTTGCTGGGGGGAGTTTGTTGCTGACTGCAGGGGGTCTATTTTACTACTTTATTGTTACTATTACTATATAACATACTTGGTTTTGTAGTCCCTACGGGCCAGTTTACACTACATGCATTTCAGTAGCTTTTTTTCTGCATCCAAAATGCACAGAAAGTAGGTTATATAGTTGTCAATGTCATAGTTCACATCAGTGCTTGCAGTTCCAGTGTGTTGTGGTTGCAGAAAAAAAAGTAGAACTGGCTGCATTTTTTTTTGCATAGAACTGTACAGAAAGCGGTAAAATGCATCAAAAGTGCACCAAAATGCACTGGAATGCACATGTCCCTATTTAAATTGAAGAAATGGAGAGGGGAAAAAATGAACTGGAATACATTAAAAACGCACTGGACTGCATCTGGACTGCGTTTATATAGTGTGAACTGGCCTTAACAGGGGCAATACTTCGAGGTGGGTAGGAGGTGGAACCAAGGGACATGCTCAGAGGTAGGTAGGGGGTGGAGACAAGGGGTGACTCAGAAGGTGGGAGTAACTGCATCTATTCTCTGAGGAAAAAAAGCCCTGCCTATGAGGTATGTCTGACAAAGCCCTGATGAGCTTAGTATAGGTCTGCTTCTCAGCCTCTATGTACTCCGGTTCACACCTGAGCGATTTGAAGTGTGTTTTCCTAGCCACTTCAACGCTCAGGATCAAGACTACTATTATATTCAATACTGGCTGTTCACAAATGAGCACTGTTTTGGCCCCTAAGGAGAAAATGGAAAACTATTTGTATTCTAGCTCTTCATTGGCTACAACAAAAACGCTCGAGCCTGAAAACACCTAAAAATGCCTGGAAAAAGGGTAAAAAATGTGCTTCAAAAACTCTTAAGCTGAAGTGTTAAGCTAGCTAAAAATCTCTTGCAAGCATTAACATCTTCATGTCATTTTAAAGGTTCTTTTAAATATGTTTTAAATCTCTATCTCTGATTAACATGCTACCTGGTGATCCTTCTGTGAAAATGTGTATTCAGGCACTTCCTTGGATGACAGTTGTGCTCCTGTGTTGTCACATGTGCCCCTAGTTGAGACCACAAGCAGCTTTGTCTACAAACATTTTTTGGTCTCCTCCCAAAAGAGAGTGCAGTAGGGTATGTAACAAATGTGCAAATGGCCAGAAATCATTTTTGGCCATACCCCGGCTTTCAAGCCCCAGATTGACTAGCTGTATTTCAGATAGCAAGATAGTTCTCTATTATTATGGAAAGCCGCATCTTGCACTGCCATCATGCTCGCTGAATGAAGCATAAGTGCATTGGCTGACATAAAGGTGAATGTAGGTTAAGGCAGAAAGTGAAAATCAATATACAGTGCTCCAATGGAAGTAATTCTACAACATATAGGGAATTACAGAAGGACATAGATGGACAGGCAGAGGCTTATGGTAATGCAGTTCTGGGAATTCCAACATATCTTTTATGCGTATATTGAATGCTACTTTGTCTCTAGAAATTGCTCTCCTATTTTCAGATAAACTGGAATTAGTTAGGGATTATTAGTAGAGCAGGTATAGAGGAATGATTGCTTCCCTGTAGAGCTCAAATATAAAAAGACTTGTATGTTTCAGAGTGTACCAGTCAGACGTCCAACAACTTCATTTTACTTTAAGGGCCAGTTCACACTACATGCAGTTCAGTTCCTTTTTTTCTGCATCCAAAACACACAGAAAGTAGGTTATATAGTTGTCAATGTCATGGTTTACATCAGTGCTTTCAGTTCCAGTGCATTCTGGTTGCAGAAAAAAAGGAGAACATGCTGCATTTTTTCTGCACCGAACTGTACTTGAACGCAGTAAAACAAGGTAAATTGAAGAAAGAGAGGGGGAAAAATGAACTAGAATGAATAAAAAATGCACTGGAACGTGTCAAAAACGCATACAAAATGCACGGAACGCGCCAAAAATGTGTCAAAAACACATCAGGAACGCATCTGTACTGAGTTTCTATAGTGTGAACCGGCCCTGAGGGCCGGTTCACACTACAAAAATGCACTCTGGATACATTCGGGATACATTTTTGCTTACAGTTCACACCACATGCAGTTCCGGTGCAGTTTTGATGCAGTTTGTGTGTTCCAGTATGGTTCTGTGCAGAAAAAATGCAGCATGTTCTACTTTTTTTCTGCACCTGAAACTGACTGGAACTGACTGCACTAGTGTGAACCAAGACCAATGGAATACATGGAAAACACTGTGCATGCACTTTTGATGTAGAAAAAAAGAGCACTGAACTGCACCTAGTGTGAACTAGCCTTAGATGCATCCGGATGTGTTTTTGCATGTGCGTTTTTGGCGCTTACTGTTGCGTTTTTGATGTGTTCCAGTGCTTTTTTAATGTATTCCAGTTTGTTTTTTTCCCTCTCTTTTTCTTCAATTTAAATAGGTTCATATGCGTTCCAGAGCGTTTTTGGTGCGTTTTTGTGAGTTCCAGTGAATTTTTGGTGCGTTTTGGTGTGGGTGTTGATGCATTTTACCGCGTTCCAGTACAGTTCTGTGCAGAAAAAATGTAGCCTGTTCTACTTTTTTTGTGGAACCGAAATGCACTGGAACTGCAAGCACTGATGTGAAGTTGAACTATGACACTGACAACCATATAACCTACTTTCTGTGCCGCAAAGGCTGTCAGTACCTGTAGCTCTCCCATTCACTGAACTCTGTGAATGAATAATGCATCCTGGTGGGCGGAGCCTCACATAGCCGTGTTTTTTTCCTCTTTAAAGTTGTGACAGCAAGTTTAAGAAGATCTGTTACTAGAGGTACTTTGTCAGGGAGCAGCTGCAGCAGTGGGAACATGTTACATGTTCCACCCTAAAAAGCTTGTAGGAGGAGCTTTTATTCTATGAGGATACAAAACCCCTGACCTCTATCTGACCAGTGCTGATTGGCCTCTCTAGCAATACACACAAACCTGAGCATGTGAAAAATGCCTACGGTTCAGTCTGTCTTATCAAGTGATAAAAGGGGGATCTTGAACAAGGGGAGGAACAGAGCAGTCAGGATCATAGTTACATACATAGTTAGTATGGCTGAAAAAAGACAAAAGTCCATCCAGTTCAACCATTAAAAAAAAAAAAAAAAGTTATAATCCTATGACCACAGTTGATCCAGAGGAAGGCAAAAAAAACCAGCAAAGCATGATCCAATTTGCTCCTGCAGGGAAAAAAATCCTTCCTGATCCCCCGAGAGGCAATCGGATATTCCCTGGATCAACTTTACCTATAAATAAAGTGGAAGGAAAATAATAAATGGTTTTCAAAAGTTTTACAAATAAATATGTGAAAAGTGTGGCGTGCATTTGTATTCAGCCCCCTCGGAGTCAATACCTTTCGCTGCAATTACAGCTGCAAGTCTTTTTGGGGATGTCTCTACCAGCTTTGCACATCTAGAGAGGGACATTTTTACCCATTCTTCTTTGCAAAATAGCTCAAGCTCTGTCAGATTGGATGGAGAGTGTCTGTGAACAGCAATTTCAAGTCTTGCTACAGATTCTCAATTGAATTTAGGTCTGGACTTTGACTGGGCCATTCTAACACATGAATATGCTTTGATCTAAACCATTCCATTGTAGCTCTGGCTGTATGTTTTGGGTCATTGTCCTGCTGGAAGGTGAACCTCCGCCCCAGTCTCAAGTCTTTTTCAGACTCTAACAGGTGTTCTTCTAAGATTGCCCTGTATTTGGTCCCATCCATCTTCCCATCAACTCTGTCCTGCTTCCCTGTCCCTGCTGAAGAACAGCATTCCCACAACATGATGCTGCCACTACCATGTTTCAAGGTGGAGATGGTGTGTTCAGTGTGATGTACAGTATTAGTGTTTCGCCACTCATAGCATTTTGCTTTTAGGCCAAAAAGTTCAATTTTGGTCTCTCTGACCAGAGCACCTTCTTCCACATGTTTGCTGTGTCCCCCACATGGCTTCTCACAAACTGCAAACGGGACTTCTTATGGCTCTTTCAACAATGGCTTTCTTCTTGCCACTCTTCCATAAAGGCCAGATTTGTGGAGTGCACGACTAATAGTTGTCCTGTGGACAGATTCTCCCACCTGAGCTGAGGATCTCTGCAGCTCCTCCAGAGTTTCCATGGGTCTCTTGGCTGCCTCTCTGATTAATGCTCTCCTTGCCCAGCCTGTCAGTTTAGGTGGAAGGCCTTGTCTTGGTAGGTTTGCAGTTGGGCCATTCCATTTTTGGATGATGAATTGAACAGTGCTGCATGAGATGTTCAAAGCTTGGGATATTTTTTTTATAACCTAACCCTGCTTCTCCACAACTTTATCCCTGACCTATCTGGTGTTTTCCTTGGCCTTCATGATGCTGTTTGTTCACTAATCTTCTCTAACAAACCTCTGATGGCTTCACAGAACAGCTGTATTTATACTGACATTACATTACACACAGGTGGACTCTATTTACTAATTAGGTGACTTCTGAAGACAATTGGTTCCACTAGATTTTGGTTGGGGGTATCAGAGTAAAGGGGGCTGAATACAAATGCACGCCACACTTTTCAGATATTTATTTGTAAAAAATTTGGAAAACCATTTATCATTTGCCTTCCACTTCACAATTATGTGTCACTTTGTGTTGGTCTATCACATAAAATCCCAAAATACATTTTACGTTTTTGGTTGTAACAATGTGGAAAATTTTAAGGGGTATGAATACTTTTTCAAGGTGGTGTACATTCAAGGACAATTATGTTTTTGGGTTTTCAGAGGAAACAGAGCTATTACATAAAATAAATAATGCACCCTTGATATTGGGCAGCCAGAGCTTCTAAAACACATGACTGGACCGGAGCAGATTGAAATAAGGCATTTACACAAATAATTTTTTTTTATACCATCACTATACAACATATGTAGGAGGAGGGAGGAAGCTGTGTTAAGCAGTCATAAATGTGGTCTTTACTTCTACTTAATAAACACTGTGAAAACCATTAAGCTAAGAACATTAGTCATAGAGATAGTGTTATGTTGCAGACTGACGTGGCTTAATTTGGTCTGGGCATTTATACTTCAATGACTTCTAGTCATGAGAGGGCTAAACATGTTTTTCTGTGCTACAAAGTATGATCCATTTTCTTAATCCACTTATATATGACGTGGTAGATATTTTAGGAATTGTTCAGCATGTAGGCATCAGTGATTTATCAGACTTTAGTAAATGTGAATGATGAGACTCCCTATATGGTAGATGGTGGTGATAATGAACACGGCAATAAAAGGCTAATTCTGATGTTTAAGGGATATGTAAACCCAATGTTTCATATTCCTGATATGTGCCTGCTGTACCATGTACTTGTATGGAAGAGTATCCTTTTCTTTTTCTATTGCTTCCTTTCTGTGAAATACCTGGTGATTCTGCCAGTCCCCCTGCTTTTCTCATAAAAACTGACCATACTTGGCATGAAAGCAGAGTGGTGAGAGAATCCAATCCAATGATCAGATTTATGCTGAACACCCCCCCCCCCCCCCACCTGGCACAGCCATTCACTGGGAAGAACAGTATGCTGCTGTTTCTCCTCCCCCAGCTCCTTATGCAGCTGAGAACAGAGGGTACAGTGGATATAAAAAGTCTACACACCCCTGTTAAAAAGTCATGTTTCTGTGATGTAAAAAAATGTACTTTTCTTCTGACTGATACCTTTTAACAATGAGATCCCTCTGATGCTTTAGAAGCTCTCTGCGGACCATGGCTTTTGCTGTAGGATGCGACTAAGAAAATGAAAGGATAGACCTACTAGAACAGCTGAACTTTATTTGGGATTAATCAGAGGCCCTTTAAATGATAGCAGGTGTGTACTGACTCCTATGTACTTCCTATTTATATTCGCCTTACAATATAAAAGCATTTCTAGAATCATTAACAATAACTGGAAGATTCTGAAAGCAGACCCAGTCCTAGCAAAAATCTTACCGGATAAACCAGAGATTACATTTAGAAGAACAGCCTCTTTGAGAAATCGAATAGCCCCCAACATTATCAACCCACATAGTAATGTATACTTTTTTTAACAATTTGGTGTTTTTTTTTTTCCCATGTAACAAGTGCGTTATATGAACATGCAATCAATATAGGAAAAAGAAAATCAAGAACTTTACATCAACTGTTACTGGGAAGACCTATAATATTAAAAATTTTATATCATGCAACAGTAGATATGTTGTTTATCTCTTACAATGTCCTTGTAAGAAACAGTACATTGGTCGAACCACCAGGAGATTAAGGGACCGTTTGCGGGAGCATGTATATAATGTAAAGAGGGGCTATAAAGAATATTCACTCTCCAAGCACTATAGGCTACATCATAACAGAGATCCATCTTCCCTAACCTTTATGGGTATTGATATAGTGCAGGCCCACTGGAGAGGCACCAACAAGAGGGAGGCGGAGTCCCAAATGGAAACAAAATGGATATTCCAATTGAGATCGATGCACCCTAGGGGATTGAACATTGAGATGGATATCAATTGTTTCATCGACAATAGCTGAGGTTTACTCCACTCCCAACTCAGAAAATATATAGTGGAACACAACATAACCAATCTTCTCGTCCGATTAGCACATATTTATAGTCCTAACCCCCTCCCCCTTCCCATTTCATGGTCTTTGCGATTTTAGTCTTATTTTATCCTTTTTTTTTTATGGTCATTGCAAATTTTAATTTAGGTTCTATTTTATTCTATTTTTATCTATTCTATTCTATGTGAGGTTTCTTATTCTACTTATTAAAATTTATTAAGTGGGTATACCCAGGTATTTTACATGTGGATACCCCATGTTTTTATTGTTTTTTTACCGTTATTTATCCATCTGATTTTTTTCTATATACTGTTATTGTTTCTTATTCATATTTTAATGCTGTTATTTATGCATATATCTGTATTAAGGGATATCAGTAACCATGGTCACAATGCGCTTTTATTTATATTTTCTCATTTTACAACATGGCTTAATTGTATGTTATATAGGATATCCTCAATATGGAGTATAGGGAATATTGATTTATGGTATTCTATTGCCCTGTTATGAAATTGACATGCGCGCTATTTTATCTGTGCAGGGCTGTATTGGCAGATATGATAAATCTGTGCGTGTCTGTTATGTTAATATTCCCACCAATACACGTTGTAATCTACATGTATGAACGATTAGTACACACTTGAGAATTCCATTTGGTTAATAGAGTGTTCCCTGGTGACCATTGTTCCATGAAGACGGCTCCTGTCCTCGCTTATATGGCGCTCGCACATGCGCAGTTGCGCGGGCTACATGAAAATGGCGCCCGGCGAGAGGACATTGAGCGAATTAGGAAATGGCGGGCGCTAAAACGCGCATGCGCAATTTACACTATTTAATGCCACGAGAGACGTCCATCACTGTAAGCATACCCCTATGAATACGTGCGGCTGCATGAAACGCGTCAAGGTGGAGCTACAGAGTTGTGACGTCACTCCGCCGGCGCCAAGAGGGCCACGGCAGCCATCTTGAATATCATCAGATGGTCAGTGATTTGTTTTTTCTAACACCCACTGTTCGTGCTGCATTTGTTTGTTTGAATAAACTTCACCTGTTTGGAAGATATTACACTATCTGGCCTCCTCTTTTGGATACCAGGCAGTGAGGGGCACCTGACCAGACCACAGACGGATCTCCAGTCCTCTGGAATTGTTATTTCCAAATGCGCATTTTGATTGCGTATCTGGTGAGTGCGCAAACTTATCATTTATATCACCACATTACCAGACTACTGGATTTTAAAGATCATCAGGCACCATTACTGTGGACTATTGGTTGATTTACTAGTCCAGCACTTTGCACTTGATTTGTCACTATTAAGTGACATGGTCATCACTTTATGTTGCACTGTATACTAATTTATTCATTATGAGCTGGTCTTATGCGTTTTGTATGATGTATGCATGTTCTTACTATTGACACGTTTTACATCACTCAGTCACTTTATTTTATGCATTTATATTATTTGATACCAGTACAGTTATTTGTGACTTTTAGCGCTACACCCTGCTTTTATTATCTATTTGGAGGTTTTATATGGTACCTTTTGGTGTTTAGCAGCTTGATTTTGTTTTAAGCGCTCACTTGCTTCTTTAGATTATCTGTACTGACTCCTATTTAGCATGATTTTGAATGTGCTTGCCTAATTCTGAACACAGCTACACCCCAGTTATAAGAGGGTGTGCACACTTATGCAACCACATTATTTTAGTTTTTATGTTTACTCCCCCCCTCTAAAATATTTCAGTTTGTTGTTCAACTAAATTGTACAGTTTATAGGTTATATTAAAGGTGGAAAAAGTTCTGAAATTATTTCTTTGTCTCATTTTTTTACATCACAGAAACCTGGCATTTGAACAGGGGTGTGTAGACTTTTTATATCCACTGTATGTGTTCACTTATAAAAGATGGAAAAAAAATATATTTATAATGTATTTTATATGTATACACAAATTTTTTGCCTTTAATTTCTATTTTAAACTGGGTTGTCTTACAAGGTGAGGGTTTACATATACTTTAACTCCTTCCTGCCCACCATATCTAAATACACATCCCCCAACATGATGCCCTGTGTTGGGGATATGTTCATAAATATCCTACTGTCACTGACAATTGGGAACCAATCAGTATTGTTCTCAATCATGTGATCACTATGCCAGCTTAAGGTTTAATTAATAAAAGCTTTCAGTCTGCAGATAAACACTTCCACCTTCAGATTACAGTGTTCATTTGCTGTGCCATATGTTTTAAGCAAAACTGCAATTCTGATGTGACAAGCAGCGAGTAGGCAGGCTTTCATTGCAGAAAAGACATGCAATGTCCACCTACCTGCCTGCTGGCTGTCTTCTCCAGGGCTATAACCTGAATTGAGCATGTGCTCCTCAGCTTACAGTGCTGGGCCGATCCCTCTGTGCCGGGATGAGTGGCTCCTGTACATGCGAAGGAGTGACATCAACCAGGCCAATGAAGATGGCTGAAGACCAGAACACAGGAGAAGATGCCGGTGTTGGCAAGGGACCATTGCTTTCATGTTGTAATTATCAAATTATAGTATTAAAAATAATACTAACAAAAATAGATAAAACATTTTTTAAAAAGTTTTAAGCTTATATGTACAAGGGTATTTATTAAAACACACCAAATAAAAGCCCTCTATATCCTTAAAGATAAAATATTAAAAGAATTTAGATATGAAAATTAATCAGAGTTTTTGTAGAGTTAAGTAACTCTGGCAAACTTGTCCTGGGTATCTAGGCAGCAATAGCCTCTAGCCATGAAAGGGGTAAAGTATACCTAAAGCCACAACTCTGAATATTGTAGAGTAGTAAAGGGATAGAATTCTGTCAGCGTGGTAAAACTACCTGTGTCCTAAAATGGAAAAAAAAGTTTGAGCTTTTACATATACTTTAAATGTTCTTTATGCATAAATAATAGATTCCCAAGAAGGAGAACTTGATTGACAGGTAGAGACCCATCTTCTCTCTGATATCCCCAGCATACTCTTCTTGACTTTAGAAAGTTTTCTAAAAAGCAGCCAACCTACCACCCTTAAAAGAGAGGTAATGCTAAGGTAACCAGTATATTCCTTACAAGAATCTGAAAACAGTACAATGGCACCCGCACTATCAATATTAGTATAAAGAGCATGAAGCTGGAACAAAGGCAGGCCAGTAGCCCAGTTTTCTCTAGATTTCTAATAATATGATTGCTCACAGTCCTAGAAATGAATGAGTAAATGGAAGAGTCTGGTGGAGCCATCTAATGAATAAATCAGTGGCAATAATTAAATGTGAAAATGAATAAACAGATGAATAAGTTAATTTACAAGCTTGTTTAAATGGCCCAGGATCTTATAAACATGGCAGTGTGCCATATCGGTGCTGTTAACATAATCAATAGCAGGAAGACGAGAATGATGTAGTCTGCAGTACAGAGAGAAGTGGCTGCCGGGTCTCTGGAGACATGGCTGGAGTGCTGCGATTGTCATCTGGTGGCACATGGAGTAAAATAATGTCTGGGTCAAGGACAGAGGAGGATCAGGGAACCCAGCCTACAGGCAGGTATAAAGAGAAAGACAACTGTATTTTTAGTGATCTTTAATGCAATGTTTACTTTACTGTACTGTAAATGCAGTGGTGGTATTATCGCCAACTGCACATAGCCTGTGCAGAGAGCTGAGCTCTGGGGGACCTGTAGACATACCCACTTCAGGCTGCCTGCAGAAAACTACAGAAGGGGGGCAGATACAAGACCAGTTATGCTGCATAAAGAGAGAGAGAGCTGCAGTGGCTGGTCTTTTTTTCTTTTTTTTACAGGAAAATCGTGTACAGAGGCAAAGTGCAAGAGTTGTTTCATGCTAGTTTAATGCACAGATTTGGAAGGATGACATAAATAGATCAATGTTTAAAAAGCATCTGTGCCTAGATGATTGACATGAAAATATTCACATATAATCAAGCATATGGTTTAAACAAGGTTTAAAACAAGCCCTTGCTAACTTCTTTAGCTGCAGGCCCCCCTAAAAAAATGAAACTTCAAATTTCACACCAGAGGCACTGAAATGACAGTTCCTCTAAGCAGCTGGGACTTAAAAAAAAAAACAGCAGTTGCTGTAGGCTGTTAGGCCCTTTTTATACAGGAACTTGTGGGATATCACATGAAATTAATGAAATGTTCTGGCAGGTGGGCTGCGCTGTTCCTAATGGCACCCCAAATGCACCTGCCAGTGTTCGAAATTGTACCACAACACCTCATAACTTATTGCCATGTGTTGTAGTGCAAAGTGATTTAAAAAACAGTTGCCCGCACTTTTGTGTGACTGTTGGATATGATTTTTGTGATTGAAATGAGCGGGCTGCCCTAAATGTCACACAAGTTTTTATGAGTATTTTGTATGTCCTAAACTGTTTCATATGCATTCTATTCTATTTTACTAATTTATTGTACATCATATAATGATTTAATTATCTGGTTTTTGGGATAAGCCAGTAAGGAAGTAGCATAGTATTGGGGTAGCACTGCACCAATTCACTTTAGATTTAGCACATTATCCATTTGGTATATGGTTGGGTGTTAGCAGCCCCTTCCCCATAATTATTAGTCCAATTTTGAGTAGTGCAGGAAGTTTCTATTGTTTTATTTGCCCTAAGTGCGTCACACCTAGCATAGATTTCAGCTATTTTTGATTTGGCTTTTACATTTTTTCAAGCCTGCTACTCCATATTTTGTTAAGATTAGTAGATTGTAGATTAGTAACCAGAGGGGGCTTTCAGTGGCTCAGTCTAATTGTTTGTTTTTTTTCTTCACATGTTTAGATGTGTTCAATGGGAAACAATGCATGCTGCTGTATATTGTTCAAAAGCACTAAAATTGTACACACTGGTGTGAACTAGGCTGATTGTAAAACATTGCATTTATTGTGCATGCGTTCTAGATGCATATAAAGGAGAAGCAGGACCAAAGCTCTTTTGACCCTACGTCTTCGGTGGGTCATAGCAGTGCACCTAGTTCTGCACTCCAGTGAGCATATTCAGCCATCAGCGGACTAAACTCTGCTGTTGGCTGACGTCACTCAGCCGGTCCAGACTCTGGAGAGATCCTGACTTTAATGTTGCGATCCACTCAGATATCTGACTGGCAGCTTGCTCAGGCATCCAGCCTGAACCAGCTGCTCCCACACCCTCCGTAATCCAGCTCTTTAGTCAGTGCTGGAGAGGCAGATCTGAGAGCCGGTGATTGTCACTCTTTTATTACTGAAGACCGAGAATGGAACGATCAGAGGTCTTTGAACACTTAGTTCTCACCAGGGAACAGATGCAGCATTGGACCAATGCTACATCCACTTAGGTGAGTATAATTTTTTTTTTTTAATCCGACACTTCTCTTTTAAAAAATGCACTGGAAAGCATCTGCTGTGAACCAGCCCTAAGAGAGAAGCAATGGGGAAATGTAATTTGACATTGCGGTTACAATACGCCCAGTAGTAGAATTTTATGTTCATACCAGAGCCTGACCTTACTTACTTCAATGGTTCTACTAAACTCAAAGTAAACATTGATTTATCAAAAAACAACAACAAAAACTACTCTACTGAGAAAAGCTGACAGGCTCACTTTACATTTAAAGTGATTTATATAATCTTACTGTGGTTGTATAAGCAGCTTCAGGATCATCTTCTAGCACTCGTGAAAGTCCAAAATCTGAAACTTTGCAGACCAAATTGCTGTTGACTAAAATGTTCCTGGCTGCCAGGTCACGATGGACATATCCCATATCGGAGAGGTATTTCATCCCTGAGGCAATTCCTCGTAGCATTCCCACCAACTGGATGACTGTAAAGTGACCATCGTGTTTCTGTAAGGGAAGAACAAAATATATCTCTGGTTGATTAATATCAGAATATATTCAGTATATATAGAATACATTTGCTAAAGTCTGTATACTTAAAGGTGAAATATACAGTAGGTAGATATAACAAAAATGTATCCAAATACTGTATTTGAATTATATACAATACAAATATGTTTATGTACAGCTAGCACACAATACCTGAATCTGAATTTGTAAAAAGGTAATCTTTAAACTATCACACAAAGATAACCATAGAGGCCAAGGTGAGACAGAGATAACGTCGGCACAGCTAGCAACTGTCTTCAGATAATGAAAATAAGTTTTATTCTAAGAGATATTTGTCCTTTAAAAGGACAAACCCCTCTAAAAGTTAACACTATCTTAAAATAACATTTCAGTTTTGTGTGAGTACAGGTAAGCTGGGTTGGTTAGATCTTAGACACTTCAATAATATTCAGTGATATTTTTCAGGATATATAAGGGTCTCCATCCCTCCAGAAGGTCATGGATGGTGTTAAGCTCTTGAAAATGGATTCTTCATTTATATGTTTATGTTCTTGAAATTGGATTTTCCAATTATTTGTTTATTCTAATTTTTGAATTCCCCATTTGGCCTTTTATTGGCAGACCAGTTGTGCAGGACTGAAAATTCTGGTGAGGATATCTTGTTACTAAATTGTCATAGATACATAAAAAGCAGTTCTCAGATCCAGTTTACCAGTGACTATTCTCAACTAAAAGAAATCTTTTCTCCTAGATAGATCTTAAAGTGGAACTGAAGATGCCACCAGGTGAAATGTATGTAGAAGCGTGATCCCGTCACTTCCAATTCCCTATGACGTCACGTCCAGCCCTTTAGCAGTGAGGCTTGGCGCGCATGCCGGCCTTACTCAGTGAGCTCAATGTTATTTACAGGCTGCACAGATTGGTGCTGGGATTTGGGCCCCTGAATATGTGAGTGCATTGTCATTTATTTTTTGTACCATGGTTCTTATTAAATATTACACTTAGAGCAATTTTAATCTATTCGTTTCATTTAAGCTATCTAGAGCACCATTCACTTAAGGGGCACTTGGAGACTTATCTTGTAAAGAGCCTATAATTGGGAATCTACATATTATTCGATTGCCCAGTGTCATGTGACCACCCACTTGGGGGTCAACATCTTTTGTTCCTTGGAGAGCCATTAACAAAAAGGGAATCAGGAAATTCATCCCATGAGAGCCTGCAGTTGGGAATTTACATATTGCTTGACCATATAGCATTATCTGACCACCTTAACAGAACCTTCTGGTGAGTGAGAAATGCATCTGTTACACGTGGTGGATAAGAATTTCTTGAATTACGGGATACCCTCATATGGGAGGGTAATTTACTTAATATAAAATTTTTGGGGGATTTTAGTATATCCTGTACCAATTCACTTTCCATATGGTGTTGGGAGAGCACTTTGTAATTATCTGATTTATATTGTATTGAGCAAGCACCTATCTATTCACGATTTGTTACATATGTTCATTCACTATTTAGGGGCAGCTGCTGTTACTCCCTGAAAAAGGCAGAATTCACTATCACTTGGTAATTCACAATCCGCATGTATATTTGATTTTATAGGCACCGCGATATTGCTTTCTTTATTCAGCCAATGGAAAGTGCCCATGTCATCCAGGGAGTGACAAAAACATATATACCAAAGTATCTTTTTAAAAAAGCTAAAAGACTCAGGACTAGGTACATCATGTGATCATGATTCAGTGAAATATTTGGGGCTTTGATCTCATTTTGACCTAGTGGTTAGTTGGTGGTGGGGTGGGGATAGACGTGTGTAAGGGGAGCTATGCCCAGAGATCAGCTATAATTGCACCAAGACAGTAACCTACAAAAAACGCTTTTGTCATGAATTCCTCCAAAACAAAAATTCCAGTCACCAGAGGAGACATGAAGAAGCAGAACCCTGTACCTTTATTATTATAATTCAATATTTATATAGTGCCAACAGTTTGCTCAGTGCTTTAAAGCAAGAGGGCAGGCACTACAGTTACAATGCAAGGAATGAGAAGGCCCTGCTCATTAGAGCTTACGATATAAACAGGAGGGTCAAGTAAAATGAAAGGTAATAATTGTGGGGCAATAAGCTGATAGAGAAAAAAAAGTGCAGTTGTTAGGTGGAGGTAGGGTAGGCTTCTCTAAAGAAAAGGTTTTCAGGGATCACCTAAAAGTGGACAGAGTAGGAGATAGTCCGACAGATTGAAGTAGGAAGTTCCAGAGGATGGGAGAGGTTTGGGAGATGTCCTAAAGATGAGCATGGGAGGAGATGAAAAGGGAGCTAGAGAGCAAGAGGTCTTGTGGGGAACAAATAGAATAATTTGGCTGGTATTTTGAGACTAGGTTAGTGATATAGCTGGGGGCAGAATTGTGGATGTCTTTGTAAGTTGTTCTTAGTCTATTTGCCACATACCTGATAGGAGTCTGATTTGACAAGATCAGCCTCTCTTGTATCTCCAACCCAGGCCCCACTGAAGGTGGAACAGATGGTGCCAAGGGACAGGAGAAACACGAGTGCCTGTGGATATTGATTGCAAAACTTGCGGCTGGAGGTGTAACCTCGGTAAATCAAGCAGGGCATCCAGTCAGGAACAGAAGAGCTGCTGGAATTGCCAGCTGAGGTTAAGGAAGCACTCCACTGGAACTGAAAGATCTGGGTACGTGCCTTGCCTTAACTTTTGATAAGCGTGAGGCCAGAACACACCATGACAACTGGAGCTGATATAATAGATAGCCAGGACAAGCACTTGGCAGGACTGTAGAGCCAAACTAGAGCCGGAAGCGGTCAGTCAGAGTAATAGCCAGGGTCAGCAATAAGCAGGCGATGAGGTACCAGAACATCAGACAGGGACGAGGTCAGGAGGAAGCCAGGATCAGAAACCGATGAGTAGAAGGATAAACAGAATCCAAGAGCAGGTCAATGGAAAGCTGGGTCAGTAACGGATACACACAGGATACAGCAGGACACAGGGAATTAGCTGAAGACCAGTGCAGCACTGACAGAGAGTAAGAGCCTCCTTTAAATAGTCCATCTGGCGCCAGAAACTGTGGGCACACTCCTGCGTACGTGCACCCCTGTGTGTGCATCCGTGAGCCAATGCTTATTTTTATTGGCAATGCACCCATGCTCATGTCTATGCGCGATGTTGCGCGCATGCGCATTTCTATCCGCCAGTCGCTGTAATTTACACTATTGAATTTAATTTGTTGGGTGAATGGAAGCCAGTGGAGGGACTGGCAGAGAAGGGTAACAGATACTGAATGGTTGGTAAGGTGGATGAATCTGGCAGCAGCATTCATGATGGACTGAAGGGAGGATAGCCTATGTAAAGGTATTCCAATAAGGAGGGAGTTGTAGTAGTCGAGGGAAGAGATAATCAGGGAGTGAACTAGAAGCATTGTGGTGTCATTGCTTAGGAAGGGACATATTTTGGAGATGCTGCGGAGGTTGAGACGCCAATATTAAAACAGTGATTGGATGTGGGGCCGAAAGGAGAGTTCAGAGCCCAGGATTACACCTAGCACCCAGGTATGAGGGGGTGGGTTGATTGTTGTGCCATTGATTTTGATGTCTAGGAAAGGGGTACATAGGGGAGGAAATATTATGAGCTCAGTTTTGGATAGTTTGTGTTTGAGGAAGTGGTTGACATCCAGATTGAGATGTCTGTTAATAAATTTGTGATGTGTGAGGAGACCGATGGAATGAACTGAGGGGTAGAGAGGTAGATTTGAGTATCATCAGCGTTAAAATGGTATTGAAAACCATAGAAGGCTATCAGCTGACCCAAGGAGGAGGTGTAGATTGAGAACAGGAGAGGTTCTCAAACAGAACCTTGGGGGACCCTGACAGAAAAAAAGAGGAGAGAAGGAGGTAGAATTGTAAGTGCTGTGGGATAGGTAGGATAAGAACCCAATTAGAGTAAAGTCATGGAAACCAAAGGAGTTGAGTTTGAGAAGGGGGGGGGGTGGTCAACCGTATTAAAGACAGTAGAGAGGTCCAGGAGTAGGAGTACAGAATAGTGTCCATTAGTTTTAGCCATTAGTAAATTGTTTGTGAGTTTTAGGAGAACCGTTCCTGTGGAGTGTTGAGGGCGAAATCCAGACTGAAGGGGATCAAGAAGGTTATCCACAGTGAGGTGGTAGCTCAGTTGTTTGTACACCAGGCATTCAAGGAGTTTGGGAGTAAAGGGGAGCAAGAAGATGGAGTGTAGGTTGTTAAGACTGGTGGGGTCCAATGAGGACTTTTTAAGTTTAGGGGTGACTAGTGCATACTCCAACAGAAACCAGAAACCAGCACTCAAAATGTCTTGCTGCAGTGGAAAAACGTAATCTAGCACTCGCTGAGCTGCCGTCCTTGATAGATCGGGGAATCTTGATGCTAGTGCATCCTGTTTTGTTCTTTTCTGTGACTAGTGCATGTTTTACAGAGTTTGGGAAGATGCCATGGGAAGGATTGAAGATAAGTGAGTTAGAGAGTGTAGGACAGGGCCAGAGGGTGGCTGTAGTATTTGTTAGGGAACAGGATCCAGGAGGCAAGTGGTTAGGCGGGCATTAGAAAAACCTCAATACAATGGACACCTCCACAAAGTGACACAGTATGGAATGAGGCATAATAAGTCATTTGTGAGGGAGGATCATCTGCAGGTAGCCTACTGGTGATGCTGGAGACTAGACCTTTGACCTCCATTTACCTTTTGGGCACAGTTTTCACAATACAGGTGCCCTTATAACTTGGTTCTTTCAGTACAATTTCTAACAATTATTACTGGATTTGCACTTATTTTTCTGTATTTATGGTAAGCATTCAAGGTAAGTAAGTTTTCAGATGATAACTAAGCAACAAAACAAGAATATTGTAAGTGTAGTACATAATTTGAAATGTTAGAATCTAAGTCAAATTGTGGATAATCAAAATACAA